GCCTGTGACTACATTCAAAACTTTTTTCTTTATCCATGGTTTTCAGTGATTTTGTTATGTTTCTGGGCTAATTTTTTTTTTTTTTTAGTTTATTCCCTTTGGAGTTTGTTGAGTTTCCATCATCTATATCAAGTCTGGGAAGTTTCAGGCATTATTTCTATGAATGTTCTTTCTGTACCAACATTATTTGCCTCTTCCTTAGGGACTCCAGTGACACAAATGTGATATCTTTTGATATTGTCTCTCAAGTCTCTGAGACCCTAGCTATTTTTGGTTCCAATCACTTTTTTTCTTCCTGTTATTCCGATTGGGATAATTTCTACTGCTCTCTCCTCATGTTTCGCCTGCTCGTTTTCATCTCCATTCTGCTCTTCAGTTCATTTCATGGATTTTAAATTTCAGATATTATATTTTTCACTTCACTGTAGTTCTTTTTTTTAAAGACTCTATTTCTCTTCTAAGAATTTCTATCTATTCATTTCAACAGTGTTTACCTTAGTTCATAGCAAATGGTTCTAGTAGCTGCTTTAAAGTCTGTATGAGAATTCACACATCTGAGCTGTCTTTGGGTTGGCGTCTGCTGATTGCTCATTCCTTTGAGAATTGGTCAGATTATCATGGATGTTAGTATATCAAGTAATTTTGGATTATAGCCTAGACATTTTGAACATACATTGCTAGACTTTGCATATTGTAAAAACTTCTCTGGAGAATATTGATTTGTTGTTTGAAGGAGTGATCCGCCTGCACGTCTGTCCTTTTCTTCTGTGGGAGTCTTTGCAAGGTCAATTCTGTTTTCACAGCCTTTGCTATGCTGTTTGGGTCTGCCTGGGGTAATGTGCCACTCAGGGCTCTGGTACTTGGGTGGTTTTGATGCTGTAATTTGTTCTCAGAGCCTTCACTGCACTTCTCTGGGCATTTTCTGTGCATGCACGACTTGGGGAGTAAGCTCATCACTTGTGTAGATTCAAACACAGAATTAGAGATTCTCTTCTCTGGCTCCCTCTCATCTGTGGGGTTTCTCCCACACCCTCAAGCTTCCAAGGCCCACATTTCCAGTTTTTCTGGCTGGAAAGATTAGGTTTTCTGAGTTTTGGCCTCCTGAGCCATGGCCCAGTTCCATGCAATTGTAGCACAGTGCAAAGCAGTGAAAGAAAAGAGAAAAACTCTCTTTTTTTTCCCTCACTCTTTGAAAATTGAGGGTTCCTTTTTCTCATTCTTATAGCAAAAGGGTTAAATCGTCATTTGGGATCTTAAGTGTCCATGCCTCCCCTTGGGTAGCAGTGCAGATCTACTTTTGAGGCCTTGAAGACAGGACTGGGAGAATAAAAAGAGAAGACTTCAACATGGGGACTTTCCCTATACTCTGGCTTACAGCAGCCCCCTTTCCTGCTGATCTAGTGAGAATGATGATCATATGGGGATTTTTGTTTTGTTTTGTTTTGTTTTCTGTTTGCACCTTTTACACTTTTACAAAGTTCCCAATCTGACTTGCCTTCAGGTCCAATCTAGGAAGAGAAAAAAAGGAAAAACTCAGAAAACTCTTTGTAGCCAATTTTATCTTTCCTTAAGGCTAGCTAGACTTCTCTCCTTAATCCACTTACTACTGTTTGCATTTCAGACTCCTCAGATAGTTGTTTGCCATGTGGGTCCACGTTTTAGTCGTGATCAGGGGAACGACAGAATGGGCTCCTTACTCACTGGACTGCCTCTAATTCATGTTTTCACCCCTAGCACTTGCCTCAGAACCTGTCACATGATAGACAATAAAGCAAATGAAGTGAATACAAATGTAAAATGTGAGGCTCCCCAATGTGAAGGGAATATTTGTGCGTGTGTGTGTGTGTGTGTGTGTGTGTGTGTGTGTGTGAATGAAAATGTAAACCGTGAAGCTTGCCAATTCTCTAGCAAATTCTGGTAGGACCTGGACGGCACATGTTTGGCTCACAGTCTGCCACTCTTCTCACGCTCAGATATGATCAGCACTTCTCCACTGCTTGGCTGCCTGTGGAGCCTGAATGCAGCCACAGAATATTCTTACACCACAGACCAGGAAGCCACTGTCAGGTGGATAGTACGGCATATGGGGGACAAGCCGGCCTTGTACCCGGGCTTTCAGATGTGTCCACACAAAATGTGCAGCCTGCCTTTCCCATTTAACTGCAGTGGCTTCTCCCTGTACGCTTCCACCTTCCCATCCTCTTTTCTGTAAGATTGCAGGTGATGGACGTGTTTTTTTCTTTGCCAAATGGGCTTGTGGAGAAAAATAAAATCTTTTTTTTTTTTTTTTTGCTCTCTTATATAAAGTCTATATTTTCATGAAAAAAGGTAACTTGGCGGCGCCTGGGTGGCTTGGTCGGTTAAGCGTCCGACTTCGGCTCAGGTCATGATCTCACGGTCCGTGAGTTCAAGCCCCGCGTCGGGCTCTGTGCTGACAGCTCAGAGCCTGGAGCCTGTTTCAGATTCTGTGTCTCCCTCTCTCTCTGTCCCTCCCCTGTTCATGCTCTGTCTCTCTCTGTCTCAAAAATAAATAAACGTTAAAAAAAAATTTTAAAAAGGTAACTTGACTAATGTGTTTCACAGAGCTTTCTCTCATTTATACCAAAAGGTACTTATTTTAGTGTTTTATCCCTTGGGAAATGATGAATTTGTTTAATAGATTGGTAATTATCCCGCTCAAAAATGATCATTAGAATTCCTCTGTATTTGATTACTATGTATCACCAAACTCACAACCCATTTATCACCAGCTGCATCCATTAATTCAGCCTTGCTGGTCCATGCATAAGAGACCACTCTAACTTCTCATTTTGAGTCTTTCTAAGAAAAATATTGGTAGAAAGTAGTATGCCTTAAATATATCGGACTTAAAATCTCAGTCTGTACAAATTTTTATTTTTATTTTTGCTTTCTATTTTTATTACCTGAAGGCTACTTTCCAATGGCGTCACAATCTAAACAGAAGTGTACTTTTTTGTTAGGGGATTGGAGTGAGTATTACCTTCTAGTGATTATAGTGGTAGTAAGAGGCCATGTTTGTAAATGTGAATGCGTCTTCATGTCTTTGTACGTTTCGTATGGAACGCTATCTGTGACCCAATTAGATCCTTACTCAAAGGTACTCTTTCCAGAATTTTGGAATATCTCCACCTCTAAAATGGAAAATCTGGTCCGGAAAATGAGCTCCTAGAATATACTGAGCATGTGTGCGGTGCAAACACCGAGCACGAGTTGATTGAAGGTTGATATCATTGAGTATGGAGTTATCTAGTAAGGTTTCCCTTGGACTGTAATTCAGGATCTGTGGTTTGGGATTGTGCGCATCCGTGCTATGGCTGAAATCAGAACAATAAAGAGAAAAGAAACTGCCTGGTACAATCTAAGCGGTGTTCACAATCTGAGTTTGTTTTTCTTTTCTCCTTCACCCTACCCCCGGGTCTCCAGTTTACCGTGGTTTCTGGGCAGTCCTGATGCTTCTGGGGGTCGTCGCCGTGGTGACTGCAAGCTTTCTGATCATCTGTGCAGCCCCCTTCGCGAGCCATGTTCTCTATAAAGCCGGCGGAGGCGGGTACATTGCTGCAGGTACGCACTGGGCAAAGGGTGTGATTTCCAGCCATGGGTTTCCTCCATATCTTCATATTCTCCTTTTCTAGTTTCAGATTTCAGGCTTCTAGTAGTGGTAATACAATGATATTTATATACAGTATTTCTTGAGCGCCTGCTACATGCTCCACAGCCTTTCCTCACTGTATCCATATTGTATTAAGAGGGCACTAGAAGGGAAATTAACCTGTTTACTCTCTCTGTAAAATGGGGTCATAACTGTAATATCAGGATGTGGGTGAACTTTTCTGGGTGATCTTAAAAGAGATAACCTCCTGATGATATTACAAACCGGCATCACAGGTAAAAAACATCTCTTTCTACAATGTCCCCATTCAGTTTTCTTAACTGTGTTCATGGGCATTAGCGAAACACATTCCCTGGCAAAACCTGCGTTTGTTTTAGTTGGCTTTACAACTAGTGTTTTTAATGCCTGCTTATGGTGATCATAGCACAAATAGAAAAATAATCAACTAGGTGTGTCTTGTGAATGTTCCATCTTTTTCATTTAATTGGGAAGTAAAAGCCAGAAGTCTAATCCGAAAACATAAGTGCACAGGTGATTTGTAAAGATAACAGTTCTAGAAAATTAGACAAACTTCACTATAGTAAGACCAAATTGCACATGACTAAGCTATACTATAATGTCAGATAAGAAGGACAGAGTGTTTCTGTAGAAATGGTAATGACAGTAAAGAAAGAGGATGGATAGCTTTGTTGTCTCTAAATCATTTCAGAGGCAGCTCCTCATGTGTTCCCTCATCATTTAATCGATGGTCAATTCACAGTTCCTTTGAGCACACTTTTTACATAATATTGTACTTAATTCTGTAGAGGGAATAAAAACAAGAATAATCAGAAACAGATCCTCCATTCAAAGACCTCAAAAAAAAAAAAAAAAAAAGAATAAAGAAAAAAACCCATCAAATCAGAGTCCTGTTTAACCCATTCTGTCATTCTTTTGTCTTATATTCAATTCTTTTCCTCACTGTTTTTTCAAGGACCTTGTTTTCAAGGGCCTGGATTTCTTCACAAAATTTACCTTTATAAAATAAACAATGCAGGGCTCCTGGGTAGCTCAGTCGGTTGAGCATTCGACTTCAGCTCAGGTCATGATCTCGTGGTCCGTGAGTCTGAGCCCCAGGTCAGCTCTGTGCTGACAGCTCGGAGCCTGGAGCCTGTTTCAGATTCTGTGTCTCCCTCTCTCTCTGCCCCTCCCCTGTTCATGCTCTCTCTCTCTCTCTCTCTCTCTCTCTCTCTCTCTCTCTCTCTCTTTCTCTTTCTCTCTCTATCTCTGTCAAAAATAAATAAACATTAAAAAACTTTTAAGGTATACAATGCAGTGTTTTTAAATATGTTTCCAGAGTTGTACAAATATTACCACTCTCTGATTCCAGAATATTTTTATCACCTCACAAAGAGACCTCATCATCTCCCCTCTTTTTCTCCTTCTGGCCCTGAGTAAACAATCATCTACTTTCTGTCTCTGTGGGTTTGCCTCCTCTGGAAATTTCATATAAATGGATTCAGACAATGTGTGGCCTTTTGTGTCGGTCCATTTCAGTCTCATAACTTATAATGTCCTTTCTTTCATTCATAATTCCATAAGACTAAACCCCTTATATATCTTAAAACTGACCATTTTCTGAGCCAAATTTTTTTTTCTCCCTCAAGGAGGGAGGGAAAACCACATTCTACCTTTGCTTCATTCAAAGGTCTAGTGAAGGTTTATATTTTTCCATGGTCTTCCCAGAAATAGCAGCTGTCTGCTAGAGTTTGTAAATATTTATTTCTTCTCATTCCTTGCTTTTCTTTTTTAATCTTTTCCAATAAGGGAACTATGTACAGTTGACCCTTGAACAATATAGTTTGAACTGTTTGGGTCCACTTACACACAGATTTCTTTTTTTGATAAATACAGTACAGTTCTGTAAATGTATTTTTTCTTCCTCATGTTTTTCTTCCTACATTGTTCAAGGGTTAACTGTAATAGCGTTAGTTTAGTACATATTATGGATAGCATAGTTGCTTTATACTCAGAAGTGCTCTGATCCTTGGTTTAGTCTGATCGAAGACTTATGTGTCTCTGTGTGTGTTTAGTGCTTTTGAAAAAGAAAAAGTTGGTCATTTTTAAATTGTACAAGAAAATAATATATTCAGAGAATTATATTTGGCTGAGAACTCTATAGGAAGGTAAAGCATTTGATATATACTCCTATGCTTATGACCAGTGGGTTTTCTCTTTTCAATGAATCTTTGCTGTATGTGGGTATGGGGCTGAGGTCCTCCTTGCCAAGTCTTCATGCAATAGCCCCTGGGAATTGAGAGGTGCCCATGGTATTCTGGGACCCATTCTGAAAGCAACTGAACTGGACAATTATGAGGACACGTCCTTTCAAATTTGACTTTTAATTTTCTTCAGGGCAGAATTCTTTAGTGTTTATATAGGGCTATTTGTTTCCCCAAAACACAGAGAGATATTCTGTTGGATGGGACAAAATATTACTGTTCATTTTATTAGCTCGGGCAGAAAAAGTGATGTTCTCAGGAATAACTAAAGTTTATGGTTCAGTGGCAATTTCCACAATGAAGCACAATTTTGTTAAGGCAGTCATGGGGCTAATAAATTATCCTGAAGCTTGAGTACATTGATAGAAGAATTTGTAAAACCTTTTAATTGTCTATATTGACATTCTCAGGTGATGTTAATAAGCAAGTTATCCTTTCAAAGCTGAAGATGGAAACTTACATGCTATGCTATATGAACACTAGGAAAATATGTACTAAACACTAGGTTTTGGGGCCAGCTGGATTTTTGTGTACCACATTTAATATGGACCCATGCATATAATCATCTACTGAATTTAATAGAATTGAATTTATAATGCTTTCTTTGGTCAGATTTTATATTTTAAAATGAAGAGATCTCATTCCATGCATCTGGTATTATACAATCTCTTTGTTTTTTTTTATGGGACTCATCATTCCTTGCCTGAATCTCCCATGCTGGCCTGTGCCAATGCTCTGTGCTCTGCTGGGCAGTTAGTGACAGGTGCAGCTTGGGCCCAGGGTTGCCGTGGCAGCTTTATCAATGCCACAAACAAGATTGCACACTCTCTCTATTTGGACAGATGACTTTAGGACAGGGGATACCCAAATTCCAAATGGCCATTGCTGGCTGTGTGTGCATGTAGAAAGACTCCTTGGCATTAGCAAGAAGATTGCTTTGGGGCATTCCATGCATAGCTGAGTCATGCTGATGTCACAGTTGTTGGTGTGAGTAAGGAGTGGGGTCCATGGTATTCTTCTTGCTCTGTCAACAGGCTCAGAGCAAAACTTAGAGGACATATGTGGCCACTCCTTGCAGCTGGGCAGATTCCTCTTCAGGCAGTCTCTGGCCATGTGCTCCCCAAATAGGTTCGGGTATGAACCAAGTGCATGGTAATTGTCAGGATTGTTATATTACAGAACCTGTTTCAGTGAGTCTAATCATACACGCTACAATGCCTAAACAAGTGCTGAAATTTGTTTTAATGTTGGCTCCCAGAGAACTTTCAGATCCAAAGGGGGCTGACACTGGTCTTCTCCTAACCCTGTGATATTGGAGGTTATAGGAAAGATGCAGGAGAAGTTAGAATGGGTAGGCACCGCATTACAAAACATTTAGGTTATATGGAGGAAATTATTATACCACAGAATATTCCTAGTGCCTGGGCAAAGTGATATCAATAAAGGAATTGTTGTGCCTGAGTAAGACTTCTAAGTGAACAGGAAAGAATAATGACATGATCTGGAAGTTCGGGGACACTGACATTGGGTGATAAGCCATAAAATGTAGAGATCAGCATCTTAGCAGCATATTAGGGTACAAAGATTTTTATTTCATAATTGAAATCACCTCTTCCTGAGTGACAAAGTGGAAGTATGTTTTTCTGCTGATTGTAGAGCTAGACTGAGTCCCTCCTGGGTAGAGGTGCCTGAAAAGCTTCTGAATCTTGACTAGATCCCTTGTGGGACCCTCAGGCTGGTGAGACTACGGGGACCTCTTAGAAGTCAGGAATATAGCAGCCTTTGTTTTAGTAGACCCAGGACGTATTAATGGAAGTAAATGGTACCTCTGCAGTGTGATTGGCCCTTTGGAACAATTAGTCCCCTGGAGACAAAGTAGTGGTTTGACTCCCACCCCATTCTGTGACCACAGAGTTACCTAGACAGCTGTTGCGCAAGCTGTTACTGGTCACCAGGGATACAAACTGAGTGAGTTGGGGTGAATTGTATAAATCCTCTGCCACGTGGGATAAACCGCCTGAAGCACATCCCTCCACAGCTCATCCCTGCTCCCTTCAGATCTGGAGGGCAGTGCTTTCTAAAAGCGTAGTGATGCGAACCCTTTTTAAAAAGTAGCATAAGAAAGGTGAGCGGATATGAAGGGAATATAAAATTCGGAATCCAAAATACAACATAAAATACTGAATCAGAGTTAAATCGGATTTGTGGTTTGTTTTCCTTTTTCTTTCAAAAGGTCAATGGAATTTATAGTAGCTCATCAGTTAAGCACATTTATTTCTATATGAGATAAGATAGATGTCATGGTTGCAAACTACAAGATACTTTTTCACCTGAATCCTAGAAAAAATAGGTCATAAAGCCAAGGGGCATATTTCAGATGTTCTCTCTCTCTCTCTTTTTTTTTTTTTTTTTTTTTTTTTTTTTTTTGGCTGACAGTGAACACGTGGCTTCCAGGAAGTACTGAGTGTCATTCCTTGCTTCTCACGTCTTCCTCCAGATAAAGCAGAGCAAGAGAAGAGTATGTGGAGGAAACAGAAGACCATGGGCAGGAAGGGATTAGGGAAGAATTGCTGACGGTCTAGAGGCAGGCGCTCTAAACTTACAGGCATACGCATCTCCCTGCTTGCACCTGCTGTCTCCATGTCTATATAGTGAGAGATCCAGGCTATAAACAGCCACTTAACCCCGGA